ACAAGTTTTGCAAGTGACTGGGTGGAGGTTGATCACATGACTTCTTTATGTACATCACCAGCCACTGAGTGCCATCGTTTTCCGGTTATGCTTACAGTGTAATCTCCAGCCTGTAAATGATATAATACACTACTTGAACGCCTCTTCGAGCCCAGTTATCTTGTGTTGCCATTCTGTTCTTGTTGCTTGTATTTGCTGTGGTGTAGTTTCTAATACAGACTCCTCATCACAACTTTTAATTGTAATATCACAAACTCTGGGAGATACGAGTTGACACGAATTTTCTGTGTGATATGCTCGTCAAGAAAGTGCCAATTTCATAGGGATAAATTCCTTCCCAAGTATTAATAAGAAACGTGCGAGTCTTTGTGAAACTTTGACACAATGGAACCGCAGTCCTTGTTCGACCATGATGGATAAAAGGTCAGATAACCCTGCATCAAGGTATGGTCTCATTAAGACAGACTGAAAACTTTTTAGTATATGCCAGTCCATAGGAAAACGATTAACCCAATCTAGATCTATATTCTCTTTAATTTAATAAGATGGTCATATGCTTTTACCATCCCCAATAACCACAACATGTGGATATTTAATTCCAACTTCATACATTGAATGGATTTTATCAAGTAATGTTCTGACACCTTCAGGAGAGTCGGGTGCAATGTCTAAAATGTCAATGGCAAGTACTTTTGATTGTACTATTCAGTAGATGTTTTAATCCAGAAAGATAAACGTGAGGCGTTTGTACATGTACAGCATGCTTTGTGACTGTAGTCAAAAATATACTTTGTAAATCATCACAGGCATATTTCATCAACAGTAAAGATGTTCCTGTTTTAAGATAATAAATCAGACAACTTCCCCTTTCACATGTTTGCCTTACAGTGTATGGTGTACTACTAGCAGATGTTTGTGTCCTACTCTTGTTACTGTTGATACATCATGGGTGATTGGCAATGGGTAAACCATAGTAGAGGATGAGAATGCATTGCAAGCTGTGTGTGACAAGGACATTAATGGAGTTTTTATTCTGAAATGCAGTATTGTATACTGCCATTCTTAAAAAGAAATAATGCTGTGGCCTCATTTCAAGGAGTCCATCAAAATATTCTTTTTGATTGAGAAACAATTGATATGAAAACTCTTTCAGTGATATGAGATTCAAGTTGCTGTATGTGGAACCCCATTGATATATCTATTGCACACAGCCAAATAATGATTGTAATGTATTGCTACAGAATGGAATGGACTATTATCTTTAGTGACATTTGGTTTTAGGCAGATACCCTCAACGGTTGGAAAAGAAGAACGAGTAAAATGGAATGAATTGTGTGTGGTGCAGGCTTAACAGCTTAGATAGACACACCATTGAACCTTCGTGTTACTTGATTAGCTTTAACACTGATAAATTGAGTTCATATGCCAATGTTATTCACAGATACTATACTGAATGAACCAGTGAAATCCATCCCCCTTCTCAATTAATGAGTCACTTTTTTTTAGCTTGGAAACGCAATGAGGTGTCTTCACGTACAACGGCTCGAAACATGTTTAAACATTCAGTACTACAACTAGTATAGCTATCTAGTGTACTGGCAAGAAGTAAATATAATGGACGTAAACATTCTACATTATTGGTGTATGAATTGTCATGAGAAGGGGTATTACTTAAGTTAGTGCACAAGTGTCTGGCTTATTCCAATCAAACTCAAGTTTAATTTATACATTTCATTATTTGTCAATGTAAGCGAGAAAATAAAATTCCAAACTTGACGATCAACATAGTTGTCTATATATAAAGTCCGAGATATTAAGAATGCCACAATCTAATTGATTTATCTTATCCATCTGTATTATCTTCATACTCGTATCACTCATCTTAGATTTGATGCTCTTCTTAAGTTGTGGTATATGACAGTAGAACCCAGATTTTTGACCAAATCATCCTTGGATGTAATTAAACTCTAAATCTCGCGTTTCAATTGTAGTTGAACTTCATTCTCATGTGCATCATATAA